CCCGATCATTTCAGCGAAACTGGCACGTGTTCAGGAGGGCTGTGTTCAAATAGCACCGCGTTGCCATCAGTAAATCAATTCCCTTCTCCGGCGCTCAGAGCACCCACTCGCTTTACAGCAGGTGTATAGAGAAGACAGCCCAGGCAAGTTCCACCAGTCATAACACCCTGTGGCCTCACAGAATACAGCTGACTTCTGTCTCTGTAAATCACTGCTGTAAAGTTGGATTTTGTACATTTGTACTTTGGTTCCAAAACAAAAAAGAAATAACAAGTACCCGTTTTCCTCACGTGATAAGAGTCAGGATAAGGACACACAAGAATGGCTTTCCTCCCTGAGGAGGAAGAGAATAATAATAATTGCTTACACATACAGTATATAGAGCTTTTCGGGACACTCCACTCAAAGTGCTTTACAGGTAATGGGGATCCCCTCCACCACCACCAGTGTTCAGCCCCACCTGGATGATGCGACAGCTGGCATAGTGCAGAGGAATGGGCCTGAACTGCTTGTGCTAAACCACACAGAGCCCCTGCCAGCGGAGACCAGTCAGTGCCTCCGCAAGCAGAGGCAGTGATCTGTGTCACCCTTTCTCCCTCTCTGCAGTATTCTCATCTTCATGGCCCTGCGGAACAGCAAGACAGGCAGCCTGCCTGTCAGTGAGATCTACAACTTCATGACTGAACATTTCCCCTACTTCAAGGTAATCCTGCCCAATCTTCAAGCACCTGGGACATGTTAGAGGCAAGAGAAATGCCAGAGAAGTTGCCCATTTCCTGCCTCTTATCCCTTTTTTGCAAAGTTGAGACACAGCAAATTTGAGCTAAAGATGTGTTTGATGAAGCCACTCAGAAATGCAGGAGAATAAAGTATAACCCATTGTTTTGTTCTGCTGCTTTTTAGCTCTGTCCAAGGTACACAGCACTCAGTTTCCCCCCTGACAAAGCACTGCAAGATGCTCTTCCTCTCGGTGTTTAATCGCAGTGCGTAATCAAGCCATCCTCAATGCACTTGAAATAACCACCAAGCAGAGTTTGTGTGTGGGTACAGAACAACGGTGCCAGTGCAACACTTCCCAACTTTGTTCACTGTCGGCTTCCCCAACCACAGAACGAGAATCACAGGGCGGCCTGAGCTTAATTTACCGATCCTGTGTGGATTCAGAAGGCGCGTGTGCAGCCACTGGATTCTTTTTCGACATTTCTCTGACACCTTTAAGAAGTGACCTGGCCAAGAGCCAGTTGTGATTAATGCCGGGAACTCGGCAGCGTTCGGCTCCCTTCAGATCATCAGCCTGTACCCGTCGGGGCTTGATCGCGATCCGCCTGGCCTGCGTTCACATGCTGCACCGTGCTCGAGGATGGGCATGCCACGTGGCCACAGTGATGTGGCAGGCATGTGCAACACTGTGGAAACAAGCTCTCTCCTGCCATGATGGTGCCACCACAGATGTTTATTCTTGCCATCTGTGTAGATATTGGCGTGGTTTATTAGGAAACACCTGATTGACAGTGCTGTGCTTCAGTCAGGTTGAGTTGCCTTTTCCTGATGCCTGCAGTGGAAAACCATCTTGCCTGACTGGACCAGATAGAGTATATCAGGGGATGTCCACTTATCAGCTGTGAAGTATCACAAAGTATCACACACATGCATCATCATTAGCAAGATCTTGTGTCATTCTTAGTTTCATGCCCCAGGTCACAGAGATCCACAGTGCACACCCATTTGTCAATGCCTTTGTTCTTTTTCGTTATACAACAAAAGTTTTTTGGGGGCATTGTCTTAAAATAGAGCCAGAGTGATGCACAAAATACAGCGTGTGTTCCTGTTCCGTTAGATGTTGCTTGGCCGCAAGGAAAAAAAATGCAGTACAGCTGCTTTGCTTTGACTTGTATTTATATTTCTATAAATACAGACCTTGCTAGCACAGTGCTCAAACACAGGCTGTTTCTGAACTGTAGCTCATTGCCAAACTGAGCAAGCCTAGCTCTGCAGTATTTAGACTGGGAGGTGAAGTGTTTTCTGGGAACAGCAAAAATACATGGAAAGGTGAGTTTATACAGGCTGGATTTTTAATCAGATTGACAGTAAGCAAAGGGTGCTCTATGCATGTAGTGACCTAGAAGGTTAGAGGTCCATAACTGCTTGGGTAGCCTGTTAAAAAAAGAGTTCTGCTGTTGTTATTGTATCCCCGAATTCCAGAACTGACTTAATGAAAAATATGTGAGCATTAGGGACAATTTAATGTCCACCCCCCATCTCGCTGATGCCCACAGCTGCTCTTTTTGGGTGTACTCTCCTCAGACAGCTCCCGACGGCTGGAAGAACTCTGTCCGCCACAACCTGTCCCTGAACAAGTGCTTCGAGAAGGTGGAGAGCAAGTGTGGCAGCTCGTCGCGGAAGGGCTGCCTGTGGGCCCTCAACCCCGCCAAGGTGGAGAAGATGCAGGAGGAGCTGCACAAGTGGCGCCGCAAAGACCCGCTGACCGTGCGCAAGAGCATGGCCAGGCCAGGTGGGCACCGCGTGGCGCAACACGGGCAGTCCCGATACCGCTACTCCTGATACTGACCAGAGCTAAACAAAACGATGAAGCGGTTACGTCATATGATCACATTACCACTGTCCTGGCCTCCCTGTACTGGTTACCTGTTACGTTTAAGCTACAATTAATCTGAATGTTCCATTGATCTGGATATCTTCATGACTTGACCATATGCTGCCTTCCACATTGTTATCTGTGGAGAACAACTTTTGTTCACTGGTGTCTTCTGTACTGCAGCCTTACTCAGAGTTTGATTTGATTTGATTCCCTCTGACATTGTCTTTGTGCTGCATTTTGGGTTTTTAAAAGACTCTCTACAAACTATTACAAGTGGTGGCTGTAAGAGCAGGAGGATTAGGGTTTAATTAACCTTTCTCATAACAGTTTTTGGGAATATGAGATGACCTGTAGGTAGGGCCCCTTCCGAAATATTAGGGATCATTAAATACCTCCAAGGTTATTTTGGTCCTGAGCTTCTTTGGCTGCTTGTGTTTTTTTTTGCAGAAGAGCTGGATCGCTTGCTTGGGGACAAGCCAGACAAATTCAAGGTCTTCTCCAGCGACCTGGGGCAGCCTTTCTCGCTCAGGAGGTCCGCTGACTTCGAGAGACCCCCGTCTTTCACCCCCTCCCAGCACGGCGCCCTGAGCCAGACCGCCAGGCGTTCGTTCCAGGGCAGCCGGGCAGCCTCTCTCCTCGCTGGGCAGCAGCCCCCCTACCTGCCCCCGGCTCCCCAGGCCTTCTCATATCTCTGCCCCGGTGGACAGCAGGTATCATCGGACACCCCCCGCAGGCCAGACAGCCATGGCTCCCTCCTGCCCTCCCAGACCCCACCTGCCTATAACGCCGCCCTGCAGGCCGAACACTGCACACGCAGGAGCTTGCAGGAGAGCCTGGCAGACGGGGAGCTCAGTAATGACGTCGACATGCTGAACCCCAGCCTCACGGACTTCCAGCTGCAGGGTAAGAGAGTACGGAGGGGGGTGCTGGGTATCGTCACACAAACTCACTTTTAACTGCATCAGCTCAAGCCTGCTGTACGGGCCTGCCCTGAAAACCTTCCTCCTACAGGCCTGCACACGCAGGTCCCGCGCTCTGGAAATACAACAGGGCTCGCAGGGCTCTTTTAGAGTTAAACGGGAGAAGGCAAGTGCCGTTTTTTTGGCTCGCCTCCCCTCACCGGTGCCTCCTCTGTCCCCGCAGGCAGTTTGTGGGAGGATCTGAAAGACGACAGCCTGGCCCTGGACTCTCTGGTTGTCATAGCGACCTCGCCATCCTCGTCCCCCCCGGGCCCCGGGCAGTCGGGCAGCTGCCCGGGGCAAGGGGGCAGCGGCGCCGGCGAGCAGAGCACGTCCGCCGTGGCCGAGGAGGGCAGCCCGGCCGACGTCCACATTACAGGAATCTACTCGGCTGCCTTCGCCGACTTCGACAGCGTGGGCAGCAGCTACCTGCCCGCACCTGGGAACACACCCATTCCACTCCTGTGAGGGCGAGGAGAGACAGCTGGCACTGCACACCGCGGCACCACAACCGCCCGCGGGTGCCAGGGAAGGCTGGTCTGCATGTAACTCTTTGAGCTCTTTTCTGCTCCTGATTTCCTGCGGGTTTTGACATTTCCAGGCAGAATGGTTTCGCGTTTGCCGTGATTCGGTCGATTTCCTTTTTCCTTTAAAAATACACTTCACTAGGGGAAAGGCTTCACTGTACACATTCCGGCACTGGAGCAAAACCCCCTGTGCAGAGATGTCCTGTTTCTCTGTGGGCGTCGTGGAGGTGAGGGAGTGAGCCTTTGAAAGACCCCCGGTCCTGTTTGAGGCCTGAAGCTGCACTCGGAATGAAACCGGAAGCCCAGAGCTGTGCAGTTTCCTATTCCATCTCACTGTACGCTCCTGCCTTGCTTCCCTGTAACTCCTGTGCCCGACTTCAAGCAGCTGGTTAACAAGTACGTCAGTAAGTTCCCCTAACCACCCTGTAACTGGCCAGTGAGGTCAGAACTGAACGGGACAGGTTAGCAAGACGTTGGCTGGTGAAATTAAAGAACGGAGTGCAGGCGTCTCCTGGGTCTGCTTTAAAGGCAGGCCAACCCTCTGTAAAACTCTCATTTGCTTTAAATGTATATACTGATACGTGGATAACAAGTCCAGCTAAAGTGGAAGGCGGAAACAACATCACAACTTGTTCATCAAAAAAAGATACTAATATATGATCACTTTCATTCACTGGAGCAGTTGAGCCTTGAACTTTCTTGACCTCTGGCTTTAAACACTGTTGTATCTGGCTTTGTGTACTGAAATTCCCCTGTTCATAATGACATAACTGCAGGTCAAACCTGCACATTCCCTTGGCCTCACATATTGTAGCATCTCCTCTTCTTAACAGCAGAGAGAGTCCGTTTCAGAAGGGAGGCCTACATGCACACTACCATAAGTGACAGTGTAAAAACCGAAGGATTGCGGGTGATTGCAGAAGGCAATAAAGCTGGAGTTAAAAACAGTGCTTTTGCACTTTCTTGTGGGGATTAATCAAAGAATGTCTGGAGCCTACTATTGAGCTCTGAATCGGGAAGAAAGGGTATTTTAAGGGACAACGTCATTCTGAATTCCTTCTTTTTTGAGATCCTGTGTTGTGGGTATGGAAAATAGATTTGAGTAGGCTGCTGTGTCAGCATGCATAGGTTGCAATGGACCAGGAAAAGGTTTGTTCCATGCTGAAAGGTAAATGAAAGGTCTGTTTCAGCTGTGGAGCCTTCTTCAGGTGTGAGGGAGAGAGGGAATGTTGTAAAAAAGAACACAAAAGAGAGAGTAAGTAGGAAGGGCCTAAAGCAGTTATCAATGAGTGTCTAAACTAAGTGAAAGCAGTTTGAGAGGTGTGAAAAGCTGAAATCTGCAAATGAATGGAGAGAATTTAGAAGATTAATCTATTATTAAGAGAAAAGGGAAGGTGTGATCCAAGTTTAAGAATCATTTTGGTTTTGCTGTATTTTTGTGCGAATCGGAGTTCGGAAACCCCTCTGTGAGGACACAGACAGAGAGATCAGACAGATCTTGGCCGCCAGAGGTTAAACAGGGAACTATCGGTTTGGAGAAATCTTTGATCCTCACAGCTCTGACAGGCTCCCTGTCCGCCAGTCTTCTTCCTGTCTCACCAGTATAAGTGGGTGGGTGTTATCTGTGTGAGATACAGTACAAGGTGCTGCTGGAAATATAGGATATCCACTGATTGACACAGAACTGTCCAGAGGGGCCCTGCATGACTGTTGGATTGGATCGGATCGGATCGGTTGGACACGTTGGATATGTTGTATTGGATTGGCAGTATCTGCAGGTGATCCAGCAGAGGACAGTGCGTTGTGGGTGGTTAAGGGAGCTGTGAACAAGAAGACTGCTCAGTTAATGTGATGTGACATGAATGGGCAGTCAGGAACTTGAGGAAGGTCCTACAGCTGAAACGTAGCTGTTTTCTTTACCTTTCAGCATGGAATGGAGCTCCACCTGTTCCTTTGAAAATAGATGGTTTCTGCGCGTGGTGTATTGATTGATATTTCCACTAGGTGGCAGTAGGTTTCTTTTCCGGCCCTCCGTCATTCACGGCATCGTTCTCTCAAAGGTTCCTTTACATCCCTTTTCACATATGATCAAAACTGCTTTCTTTTTTTTAAAATGAGGTTTAAAGGCAAGCAAACTTTTTATTCTAACTATTTCTTTGGAGAAAACATTTATATATGAGGGACTTAAATGGAACTTTATTTTAGCACACTAAGCCTGTTTGAAGACCAATTTAAAGAACTGATCTTCAAATTAGACCACAAACAATTTGACTGTTAAGCAACGTTACCCCGAGAAAGAGGAACTGGACTACCCAAAGACAAAAAAAGTTAACAATGCTCTTCCCTATCACACGTTTGCAGAACTTCCAAGCTAGAAATTCTTTTTTTGTCTGCTTTTTTGAGCACCAAGAAGAGAGAAAGAGAATCTCAAGAAAACATTTCACATTTTCCAATGCGATTGTTCTGCAGAGGATTTCAGAACGAAGCTGAAAAACACAGCCGTGTTCCAAAAACATCTGACTAGTGGCGAATGTGTCCTGTTGCCCCTAGGAGTGTTCTGTGGGGTTACGAAAAAATGTTCAGCACAATTTATACAGTATGTTCAGGGCTGCTGAAGTAAACGAGTGAGAGTACAAAGAGTAAAAGTGTTTTAGCAAATTGACGAATCAATTTTTTTTTTGTCGGGTCATGGTGTAGTGCCAAGTGGGAACTTTATCACCAAAGATTTCAGCTGAAAGCTCTGTTCTTCTTAAAGTGTCTTTTAACAGCTGGAACGTGAGGACCATAAAACTAACAGTGAACACCAGACATTAACCTTCACGGTTCACGACACACAGTGGGTAAGATAACACACTTGCCCCAGTGAAAAAACAATATCCCCTCCAGGGTATTGTCTCACATTGTGCCCTGTGCCCACTAGATTAGATGCCCTGAAGATAAAGGGGTCACTGAAAACAGATGGATGTTCATATAAGGCAAAAATGACAACAAAGACACTACTTCAAAAAAATCACATATATTTATTTTTTCTTACCAGACTGGCATTATAACTGTCCAAAACTTTACATTTTATTTTTCTGTTGTTTTAAAATCATTTTACAATAAACAACATCTATTATAAATACAGCCGTTCCACTTCTTTGACTAAAATATGGATCATATCCACAGAAGATAATTCCAGCGTTTGACTTGATTGATTTTCAAAGGTATTCTTCATTTCCTACTGAACCGTTTTAAAGTTTTAAAATAATGCCCTCTAAATAGCACTACGTATAAGTAGACAGAAACACAACAGACCCCGGGAAAAAACAGAATTTCGCTTCGTAGTAAGTACACCTACAAATGTCTTATACTGGAATGTGATCATAGAAGGATCTCATTACACTCCCACAGGCAGTATCATTTAAAACTAACAGCTTTTTCCAAAAATAAAGTTCACACAAGGTGTTTAATAGTACAAAAAGACAGCACAATCTCGACCAGAAGTATTGTTGAATGGTTTGCTGTGTGAGAGAGGAGTAAAAGATTTCCCTTTTTCTTCCTGCTGGGAACAGTGATTGTATTTAAATGCCCTGTCCACAGCCCACACTGGACTACAGCATGAACAGAGCACGTGGGAGAGTGTGCACTCAGCTGGGCAGTACCTAGAATTCACGCCAGGCGCTGAAGCTTTTTTTAAATAGTTCCTCAAAGATGCCTTCTACTGGCAACCTCTAAATCTTATAATTTTCAAACCCTGGGCCACATTTTTCTTTTCAGGATGTTTCACCAAAGAAAAATGCAGGGCTCACAAGTCATTTCAAATCATATACAGCGTATAAATGTGAATCCGTACATTAGAAATATAAATATATAGAAGACATTCACTTCTGATGGAGCCACATTCTTACCTCAAATTAAACAATCCTAGGCTCAGAATATCGCCCCTTCTATAATAGCTGATCTTTCCCCCCATTCTTCTGCCACACAGAGAGAGCCCAGAGGGAGCTCTCGTCATGGAGTGACAGCACTCCCTGCACTTACACTTTAGAACAGGATCTTCGGCTTTTTCATTAACCCCTGCCCTTCCCGAAAAACACTCAAAACTCACCACCCCTTCGCTTTTGAGGCAACTATACAGTACATACATTTTTCTAAAAATATAATTCTGTGTTAACTGACAGACAAATCATGGTCAGAAGACGCTCTCTGCTGATGAGTGTGTTATATGAACTAGCAGAACCACACATATCTATGACCGCGTCTGAGCCCCTGTTCTTGACAGGTGAAATATTACTTTTTCATATAAACCCCAAACTGGGGGAAAAAAAAAGAGTCTCTCAGAGTCTCTTAACTGGAGAAAGTTGCTGCTGCACCACTTTCTATATCAGTCAGGCAGTCCCACCCTACTGGAATTCCCTGGTTAAAGAACTACATTCAGTAGAAGTCTGGTATAGTAAGGATTCGTCCCCTGGAATTAACCTAGAACAAATAGAAAGGAGCATTCAAACAGAAT